TTCAGAAGTTGGCATCGGCATCGACATCGACATTGGCATTGGTATTGGCTTCGACATCGGCATCGGCATTGGCATTGGCATTGGAATTTGGAGGCTTGCATCCACATCTGCTTGTTGGCAAACTCATGGCGGTGAGTTTGACGGGGGTGTTGGAAAATATTAGTATTTTGGTTTATTTGAATGTTTGGTTTTCTAGGCTTAGCCCGTTAGAATTAGGTTTTGTTAGAGATTAGGGTTAGTTTATTATAAATATGATGCTTTGTTATTCATTAGAGAACAAGTTAGTTACAATGTAGTCTCTTAGAGTTTTGTAGCCGTTTCGGCATTCTCAGTTTGTTTAATAATATTCTTATTATTTGTTAGTCTTGTTCGTTTCACACTCTGATATTCAACTTGGCTTACATACTAATTTTGTTTGTGGGAAGTGCAACAGAAAGTTCGTGATATTGCAAGCTAGTGACAAAATCATTACCCGTGCTCCTAATAATATACAGATTAATCTTCTGGCTTAGCAATTACCAGTGCATAGATTTGATCTTTCATTTATTTATTTGGGTGCCTTTATAGTTGATCGATTTTCCTGTGCCACTATATAAAGAAGCTAACCCCCTCTCCTTTCTGCCAACCTACACTGCAAACCCTCTCATTTCCTCTAAGTCCTAATCCAAACCCTAAAGTTCCTGTCTTGGTTTTTTCTCTAATTTTCCAAAAAAAAAAATGGGTGAGGCTGTTGAGTTTTATCATGCAAACGGAAATGGGTTCTCAAAATTCAGTGAGAAGTTTGATCCTAAAGCAGTGGTACTACTAAACGGTAGCAACCACATAGAGAGAGATATAGATAGTTCCTGGTATGAAGAAACCATTGATGACGATCTGAAATGGTCATTTGCTCTCAATGTCAACGGGTTTGTAAATTTTCACATATTCTTTTTTTAATTGCAGAGGGTTTTGAACTCTGGATATAGCCTACTTCTTGTTCATCACTTCTTGTTAGTAATATGCGTCTCCAGATCATACTGTATTTTTCTTCTTTCTTCAGGGTTTCTTTCACTTAAGTTTATGTTTGTGTGTTGGTCTTGTCTCTACAGTGTGCTGCATAAAGGAACTAGCGAGTACCAGGAGATAGCTTTATTGGACACAAAGCGTTTCGGGAAGGTTTGTGATTTTTCTCTTTTTAAGCTACGGAAGAGGTTTTAAGTTCGAGTCTCCCTTTTAAATGTTCTTTTCTGTTTAATAGTAGTAACGGGACGTTGATGCTGATATTGTGTAATTTGTTTGTGTATAACGTTTATACAGGTACTGATAATTGATGGGAAGATGCAAAGTGCAGAAGTGGATGAATTTATATATCATGAATGCTTGATACATCCTGCACTCTTATGTCACCCAAAGTCAGTCCTCCTCTAAATTAACATTCATTTAATTACTTGTTGATCACCATATAATTATATAGGTGCTCTTATTGGTGGTTAGTACTTTAGCATGTTTTTAGAATCTTTAGATTTTGTTTTCGCTTAATTATAGCAATGGTTCTTGAATTTTGTCCTTAGTTTGACTTTACTCTAAACTCTTATATTAGTATTTTTTATTCTCGAACTTAAAATGTTTTTGCACCGTTGGTCCTATTCACTAACGTTGTTTTTTTTTTCTGTTAAATCTAGGGTATATTGGACCTCCAACTTAAAACTTCAAAAAAACAATAGAATAAGCTAAACAACAAATGAAAATTCATAAATTAATATCTAAAACTTAGAAAAAAAATGAAATTTGAACTATAAAAACACATAATGACAATGGTTGGACTTTAGCAACTTGTAAATATTAGGCAATGCAATTTCAAAGTTTGTAGGAAATTGAACTTTTGTTGGACTTAAACAACTAAGAAATCACATATTGTACTACTAAAAATAATTCCTATGTATTCAATTTTCTTACACACAAAAAAAAATTGATTTTTTAGGGTTTTTCTCATTTTTAAATTTATTTTTCACTAGTGATGTGGGATGAAATTCCTAATATATCGCTGAATTTAACAGAAAAATAGATGACGCCAGTGAAAAGGGTCAATGGTATAACACATTTTGAGGACTAAAGAAACTAATATGAGAGTTTAGGAACTAAAATAAGCTAGAGTTGATGTTGAGAGACCATTGCTACAATTAAGCATTTTTATTTTAGTTTTTAATTTATTTGTTGGAATGATTTTGTTTTTAATTTATTTTTTATAATTAGTTGCGTCCACCTTCAACTAATTAATTAGTTTTAAGAAGTGCAGGCCTGAACGTATATTCATAATGGGAGGTGGGGAAGGGTCAGCTGCAAGGGAAGCACTCAAGCACAAATTACTGGACAAAGTTACCATGTGTGACATCGATCAGGTAACTAATCATAATATAGGTAAAGATTGTGGGATGATTTTAGCAATAACAACTAAGCCTTATCCTATTAAGTGAGGTCGACTGTATGAATTTTAAAACGTCACTTGGTTTTGCACCAAATGAAAGACATAAAATAATAAAATAATTTGTGGCACCTATTGCAGGAGGTGGTTGATTTCTGCCGCAGGCATTTGACAGTGAATCAGGAGGCATTTTCTCATCATAAGCTTAACCTTATTATAAATGATGCCAAGTAAGTGTACTATTAGCTCCTCCTGCAAATTGTTATTAACAATCCGAAATAATCATCCTAACCTCTTATACATAACGTTGTTATTAAAGGGCGGAATTGGAGAAGAGTTGTGAAAAATTTGATATCATAGTCGGGGATTTAGCAGACCCGGTTGAAGGAGGACCTTGCTATCAACTCTACACAAAATCCTTCTATGACAAAATTCTTAAACCTAAGCTTAATCATGGTGGCATTTTTGTGACCCAGGTAAATAATGTTAACTATATGCAATGTATATGCCCCATTTAATTTTTACCATTTTGCAGTAAATAAACATAGTATTTAAAATTTACTTGCAGGCTGGTCCAGCAGGCATTTTCACCCACAAAGAGGTCTTCACCTCTATATATAACACAATTAAACAGGTCTTCAAGTGTAAGTCTCCTACATGTGTATATGTAGGGTTTTTCTCTGGTGCAGTTAACCGCACTTTTTAAATTGCAAATACGTCGTTGAAACGCTAGTCGATACTGTTGATATTATTGATACTTCTTTGACATTACAGTCGCTGATATTGATATTGATTTCGTCATCATGTTGTTTAGTCTAATTCATTTCTTGTTTGCGACTTCATTTTACATGTTTGTGCAGATGTGGTGCCATATGCAGCTCACATACCATCTTTTGCAGATACATGGGGATGGGTTATGGTATGTTAAGTATACACTCTTAGCTTAATTAATTTGATAGGATTGCATTAGTATCAGTTAATTAATTTATTCCATGTTCTAATTAGGCCTCGGACGAGCCTTTTTTTATCAATGCTGAGAAAATGGACAGGAGGATAGAGGAAAGAATTGATGGGGAGCTAAACTACTTGAATGGTGCTCAGTTCATGTCCTCTGCAACCATGAACAAAACTGTTTCTTTATCGTAAGATCACTTCCGTTTTATCATCCTACAATGGGCCATCTAAATATTACGGGAACTGTAAACAGTACTTCAAAATAGTCATCATGCAGTCTTGGCTCTTATTTTTTTTCCACTAAGGTGTGCGAAAATGCTCGAATCCAATTAATTTCTGTGTAACATTTCATATTTTTTAGGTTGCTGAATGAAACTCATGTCTACACTGAGGAAGATGCAAGGTTTGTCCATGGGCATGGGGTGGCTTACCGAATTTACTGAAGTCTCAAGAAACTGGTTGGGGGAATTGCTGTACAGCCAAAAAAGAAGTGAAGAAGAATGGGAGTTTTTACAGTTAGTGATTTCTTCAGGGAAAAAAAAAGAAAAAGGCAACAATTGTTTGCAGCAATTGGTTTTACACTAGATTATTATGTTAGCTTCATTGGTTTCATAGGGTTCAAAAGTGAGACTTTCCTTAAGCTTGTTTTTATCTTGAGAAAAATGGAGCCATGGTTCTTGAATTTTGGCTTAATTGGAGCTTTAGTTCCTGAACTAAAAATCTATATTGGTCTTTGAATTTATCATAGTATGGAGCAATAGTCATTTTTGCTAACTTTGTTAGAACTTTCATCCAAAATAAAAGGCTTAAAGGGGCAAAGATGGATGAAAGTTCTAATGGAGTTAGCCAAAATGACCATTGCTCCACATTATTACAAGTTCAGGGATCCAATACTCACAAATTTTTAGTTCACGACCAAAGCTCCAATTAAGTCAAAGTTGAGGGACTATTGCTTCAATTATCTTTTTTATCTTTCAATGAATGAAGAAAAATGAGGCATTCCTCCTTTCCATCCTAAGATTTATTGGTGTTTGAAGCTAGGGAGATATGAATTGAAAACACAAACGGAATGATACTAAACAAACAATAAGCCGTTCTATTTTTGCGGTTTGTTTTGTGTTCATCCCGTTCTATTTTTGCGTATTTCCCATGATAATTGTTATGAACCAATGTATTAAAAGCGTGAGGTGTGGGCGATACATATATTATATTAAAAAAAGATTATTAATTAATAATCACCCTGAGCACACACATACATTATAAATATATACATATATTATATTTTATATATATATATATATATATATATAAAATAGAGGATGAAAAGTACAATGAGCATACATGTAACAATACATGTAGACAGCACACACATTTATTATATAAAAAAATAAAAATAAGAAAAAAAGGCAGAGAGACGATAGTGCAAGGAAGAGGTATGAGGTAGTTAAAACCCTACCCAAAATTTGGGTTTGGGAGTAATAAAAAATTAAAAAAAAACATGAGGCGCGCCTAGGCGGCTCCGGCGACGCCTTCCGCCCACTCCCTCAAAACAGAGGCGGCAACTCTCACGCCCAGCCTCAAAGAACGAATAGGCGCGCACTGAGGTGACCCTTTTAAAACATTGTTATGAACAATAAAAAACCAATTCACTTGAAAGAAAAACACATTTCATATAATCATCCAGAGTTGCACAGTACGCAGAATTAACCAAGAACAGTTTATGAATAACAGGAAATAGACATAAAAATTTAATTCATGAAAAAGTTTCGGTCTTCAATTTCTTAGGCTCTCTTAACTGGGTCAAAGTTGGAAACCCCAACAACAGCACCAATGATCGCTACAAGCACAACTCCACCAGCAGCAATGCTGAGCAAGAAGTTGTTCAAAGACGGCGTAAGCCCGGAAGACCCCGCAGCCTCAGCCACCTCAGGAATCACCATGGAGGCTGTCAATGCCGCCGCTGCTAGGCCTGTCGCCGCCTTTTCTTTCAAAGAGGCCTCCACCTTGAACATGCCCTTGGGCTTTGGGTTCACAAAACCAGCTTTCTTTGATGGCTTCAATGGGATTGATCTGAAAAGTGCTTCTGTGTTTTGGGTTAAACTGTTTTGGGTGGCAGACATTAGTGGCATGGCCATTGAAGCAGAAGCCATTTCTTGGGTCTAAATTTTGCTTGGTACAAACTGTAGGTGGTGTTATTTCTGAAGAGTTGGGATAGGTAGCTTTAGATATTGGATGAGAAAATGGAGGCAAATGAAATGGTGGGTGGAAATTAGAGATTTGAAAAGCTGATGTGTCTCTTTTGAGATATCCTATGTGGCAAATTCTCTGCCTGGGAATGGAGGATAAGGTTATCCCCTAGATTTGATCTGCTAGAAACTGATTCCTTTCCAAACTTGAATTCAGGATTGCATTTGAGAAAGCATACATGGCACTCAGCACATCACGTATGCTATGGAATTTGAAGACATACCAGAAGAAATATTTTGGTTATTAATCCAGATAAATTTAGTGCCTTGTTCAAATGAAGAATTCTAGTCACCAGTTACCACAAAAAAAAAAAAAAAAAAAAAAAGAAGTGCAGAAATCTCAATTAGCTACTGAAACTAATTGTACTTCGTAAAAAATCCTACCGGAAAAGAGAACAAAATCATCAAAGTTCTTCCTTCTAATCCGCTATAACTCATTTGTTGGCAACAGCTGCATCTGATTTAGTTTGAGTGAGTTGAACTTCTTGGGGCGGCAGATTGTACTTGATTTGGAGCTCTTCCAACATTTTCTTCAGTTCGATGACTAGTTCAGTTCTCCGCGTATTCTTTTCTCCGAAGTCTTGAAAGTTCATCGTGTGAGTGACATACAGGCCCATCTTTAACTTGTTGAGATTTTCGATTTCAATCACTACCACTTTGTGGTTAGGATGCCAATGCTGCGAGTTCCTCTCCAAATGCCTGAACAAGCAAAATGAAATCGCAGAAGAGTAAGCGTAAAGGAGCAGTACAAATTGATGCTAGACTGTTAATTAAAACTGTTTACTCAAGTGAAATCGTGTGTGAATGCGCGGTTTGTACGATATAACAATTGTGATTAATCTCGTAGCGTAACATATCAGTTTATTTGACAGGAATTTTAACACATATATATATGTTTCTTGACCCGTGCTAGCCCGTACATAAACAAGTAAAAGATTTGATCAACTCACTTCTTTATTTTCTCTTTCAGCAGGCCTATCCTCTCCACTGTTGTCGAAAAAGCAATTTGGAATTCGACAACGTCACCCATGTCTGGACTTCTGAAGTAATTGCTGATGGGTTTCGTGGACAAAACTGAATTCGGATAGTATACCTTCTCCATATTGAGTTTCAAGAAGACTGTATTTAAGATGTTCATCTCCTCAACCATCAACTGTCAGGTTTCCAGGTATTAGAAATTTGATCAAGGAAAACAAATGTAATGAAACAAGAGTTGTGAAAGTTACCGGAACACCATCAACAACACAGCGGTCACCAACATCAAATGGATGCATTACAAACACAAAAATTATAGCTTCAAATATATTCTTGCAAGTGTTTCCAAACATAAAAGCTGCAACTACGAGCTGTGACGAGAGGAGGACAAGTACTTTTGTGGTCGCAATTTCCATCAATAGAAGCCACACTACAATGGTAATAACGACCAGGATGCCAGTCACAAGTTTGTTCAACTGCCTTACAGCTGTTTTGGTGTCGTTTAAAGAATGAGCCAATGCTTTGCGACCATTGTAGACCTTTACCTGCAAAACCCGAAAGGCAAAAAATGTTTCACCTCTTTATCTGAACGAATTTTGTAAGGCAGACCACCAACAGCTCAATTACATACATGATTAAGGAATGCTGCTGTTTTCTCATCTATCCTTGCGGTTCAACATTAAACAAAATTGACTCCAAGTGCAGACGCTGATGAGTAATGATGAAGGAAAACAATGAAAACAGAAACAGACTCAAGTTACCACATTCCCTTTCTCCATCCCCCGCTATATGTTTTAGATTGTAAGATGTGCATGATTTCATAATAAGGCATGTAAATGTATAATCAAGACATAAAACTCCATGACTACAGAATCGATAAGTACAATTAAATGCAGAAGTCCAGACACATGAAAATAAAAGGTCTTACCACCCAATCTGTTAGAGATTTTCTGTCAATACGTCTGGTCTCTGCTCCATCAAACAGCGGAAACACATAATCCACCTCTTCCTTAATCATGAACCTCATGAGGTCCTCCTCCTCAATGTACCTACTCAGATGTAAGATATGTAAGAAAACACATGGAAAAGGCACCAGACTATCACAAATCACAACTAAACAGCAAGGTTGGTTTTCTCACGTGGAACCCTGTGGTGCGACGTTCAAAAAAATGTGATAGGCAGCGGCAGTTGCTTGCATCTCATTAGTAATCTCTGTATCCATCTGTTCAGCTCCTTCCCCTTCCATCTCATCCAATGTATGGGAGATGGTGGACAGCCCTGAACTCGAAACTGCATCCACCAATACCTTCATGGTCCAAGCTGAAACCTTCTCTTGCTTAATCTTCTGAAGCTTTGCCATATCAATCACCCCTTTCTCCTTCCCAGCTTTAGCCTTCTTTGTTGTCCTGAAACTCAGATGCCCAGTGCTCGGACATATCCCAACCCTCTCAGCCTCCTCTATAAGTGCCGGCCCTGAAAGTGTCTGAAGAACATACTGATGGAATATCGATTCTTGGATTCTATCGAAAAAGGTGTTGACATGGAAGGTAGATGCTAAAATCTTAAGGAACAAAGTTTTTAACAACCACAAAATAGCCCCAACAAGAATGGAAACAAGAGTCCATGTGACATAATTCAAAATCTTCGTGGAAGTCTCTGATCGCTCAACCCCACGATTGAACACCAGTAGCCATGTGAGAAGAACCAGAGACAACCAAATCGAAACCTGAACGCTCTTTTTCATGCCATGAACAAAATACAAAACCTTCTTCCTCAGCAAAAAATTCCTCTCGATCACAAACACTATGAAATGCATAAACCAATTCGTAACCAACATTCCACAGAAAATCACCATCACAAGCACACACCATTTCCATATTTCCAAGCCCCAAAGCATATAATTCTCCAATTTCTCGACAGTCAAGCTAGACACTAAACAAGCCAGAAGTACCAGAAAAGCAACCCACTCAAGCAAGACCACAGTTTTCATTTTCAATTTCCTATTATTATCTCTACTCAATTTAACCTTCTTGTAAATCTCTTCATCCTCCTGCTCTTTAATCCTGCCTGGAGAAGGCGGTATCCTCCCACTCCCTGCGATTGAAACACTCCTAATACCTGATTTATCAATTGGGGAAGCCCTATTGAATGAAACCCTATAAGGGGAATTTGCACCAACTTGATCTTCTTCAAACATATTGTGATCAATGCCTACTGATGGTTCACCAAATCTTGACTTTGGTTTCGAGTACATTGACCTATTTAGTGACTTTCTCCTAGCAAGACTCTCATTGCGGTTGGGAATCTTGGGAGGCTTACCGGGACTGGCTCTCGAAAATTCAGGCGAAGCGTAACTCACTGGGACTGACTTAGAGAACCCACTGCTGGACTCAGCGGATGCTTTGGCAGGTGAGCCAATTTTGCTTTGCCTGGGAGCTGAATATTCTGAGCCTTCTGAGGGAGATCCTTTTGCTGCATTGCTCTCCTCGCTTCGAACTTCCAGTACAACTTCACCTCCATGGGAAGAAAGCTTCTCCGACATGCTTACTTCCCCAGCTTTCAAAAGCTTTTCTCTCTCTATGGCCTTCATTGAAACCCTACCCCATCAAACACCCCAAAAATCTTGCATTAAAACCCAACTAAAATAAACCACAAAACACCAAAATAAGAATGGCATTAACTTTTCAAACCCTTTTGGTAGATACATCCCAAGTTCCCCCTTTTCTTTCAGGATTAATCAAATCTTTACTTTTCTAACAACACAATAATTAACTAGTTCTGATCAAACCCTACAGCATTAAGCATCCCAAAAAGCTCTCACCAAACCCCCAAATAAAAAAATCAAGAGACACCAGAAACAAAACCACACTTAAAATTTGAACTTTTCAAACCCCTTTGGCAGATATATCCAATCTTCATTGTTTTAATTAAAGTTTGAAACTTTACAAGAATGGTAATCTGCTTCTGTTAAAGTAACTAGTTCTGATTAAACCCTACAGCATTAAGCATCACAAAAAGCTTTCACCAAACCCCCAAATAAAAAAATCAAGAGACACCAGAAACAAAACCACATTTAAAATTTGAACTTTTCAAACCCTTTTGGCAGATATATCCAATCTTCATTGTTTTAATTAAAGTTTGAAACTTTACAAGAATGGTAATCTGCTTCTGTTAAAGTAACAGGGAAAATATGTTACTTGGCGCCAAAAGATCGAATCAAACACTAATAAATGTCTAAAACATTTAGAAATAGAATGCTTATCCATCTAAATATGCAAAAAATCACTCTCACCAGAGCTATTAACAGAGCAGAGGACAGCAGAGCACCCCACCAAGGAACGATGGAAGATCATTTGCTTGATGCTGATTCTTCGATTCAGCAGTGCAAAGCAAGTGCTCAACTGGGTTGGAAAATTAACTTTCAGACCCCAAAGCATAAAAAAAAAATCTATAAAAGTGTGATGGTGAATGAGTAGAGGGGGAAGCGTTGGCTGCAGAGAAGTCAGAGAGGGACAGAGAGGGTTCAAATTTTTAGGAAATGCAGATTCCTAAGAACGCCTATAATATTCTTAACCACGTGGATATAAATAAACATGTTGGAAATTTAATTTGTAGGTTAAGTGATTAGGAAAACTAAAATTTTTTAAACTAAATTTGCGAGATCAAAATTTTTTTGAGAATTTTATCGAAAAAATTTTGGTATTTTTTATTTTAATTAAAAATCATATTTTTACACTAAAAAGTTATGATGCTATTCACTTTACGCTTTATTTTGTCGTTATCGTTAAAACTCAAAGTTTTCAAGTCATTTTCATTAATTTTCTTAATTTTTAAATCAAATTCACAAAATTAAGTGATGCGGTTATAGATGATTGAATTATTAATTCAATGCCGATTAACGTGCTTTTTTTATTAGTGACACATCATTTAGTTTGTAAATTTAATTTAAAATTTGATCTCCCTAACATTATTCAAGTAATTAATGTCATTTAATTTTATGTTTAGA